TAACAACATCGCCACTGAAATGGAGTCTTGACAAAATTTTTTTTTCATAAAACGATCTGGGGAGTTTCAATTTGATGAAATCCGTCATAGTAATCAAAAAGTGAATTTTGAATTTTTTATAAGTTACGACTTTTTGCATTTCAGTGACGATGATGTTACGTTATTTTGCATTTCAGGTGACGATATATACATGTAACCATAAGTGGGCGTAGCTACGCCCATTTTCCAAAAATTTATAATCTTGTTTTTCGTCTAAAAATTTTTGTGAATAGCAATTTTAAGTGAATTATCTTCAGTAGTTACTAAAATATCGCAGTTTTCATATTTCTAAAAATTACCGTTATATGGGAGGTAGGCGTGGTAAAGAGAGAAAAGTACGCAAAGTAGGCAATTAGTAGTGAAATTTCTTTTGTAAATTGTAATGTATTTGCAGGAAATCTGGCATTTTAAACGAAATATTAATATATCTACGTGAATTACGTAATTTATGTGCTATTTAGCTGTATAAAAACTGCAAAAGAACTCAAAATTAAAATACCACTACTATGAGATTTATGTAAACATCCAATTTAAAAACAATTTATGTTTTCATTAATTAAATGTGCTTCATATGCATATACAAATAAACACATTACACAAAAGCTTATTCTTCTATTTCACAGCAAAGCTACACTTTTTCCAAGTAAAGGCCTGCTCAAACAGGCGCGGTGCGGTACAGTGCGGTATAATCGCGTACTATATGCGGTATCAAATACCATGGCGGTATATGGGAACACTCAAACAGACGCAGCATGCACAGTTGACCGCGCGGTATAAGCAGATATATCGTAAGCAGAGTTGCAATTTAGAGCTAGAGTTCTACCACATATTTTATCTACAAAAGTGTTATAGATTATAAATTCTCCCTCTTTCATTATAAAAAACGTGAGTTTAAAAGTGCTCGTAATACATTTGTTGGCATAAATGTGATATTCTTTGGTTTTGTTTCTCACAAAGTAAATAAAATAAAGTTGAACATTTTCGTTTTTTGAAAAATATTTTTCAAATCTGGCAATGTTGCTCAGAAATATGAACGGTAAATTTACTGGAATTTAAAATTCTTTTGCAAAACGTACAAAATGGAGCGTAAATATGGGAATATTTATAAAATCTTATACATATACATAAATTAAGAACTTTGCAGGATAAAACAAAGATATAGGCATATTCATACCTTCTGTTTACTTCATCGAGAAGTGCTGCTAATCGCAATAATTCGTCCTTAGAGCTTGAGCTGCCCATCGCGAAAATCAGATTTATAATATATGTATAAATTTAGAAAGAGGAATGCGTAGAGTGCCGTTAATTTGAGCTCGTCACATGGCAACAATGTTTCTTGCTATACCGCGGGATTATACCGCGCTGTATCGCACCGCGCCTGCTAAGGGGGCATTGCGAGAGAGACAACTGTAAGTTTATCGAACCTTGTATTATTGAATCATAAGGTTTGTTCCTCACGCTTTCCGGGCTGTTTCGGTAATTAGAGCGTAAAAATAAGTTACTCTCTCACAAGTGTCAAAAATGTGTCAAAACATGCCAAACGTGCCCAGAGCGTGAGGAACGCAAAAAACCACTTTTCGTGCCCGGAATCCACAAATCAGCTGTTCCACTAGTTTTTATTTTTGCGAATTGAAAAGTGCGGGAAAAAGTTAACGTTTCTTTAATTGATGTTTAATTTAGCTTAGTGAAAACATTTTCATTTTACATTCTTTATTTCAACTGCAAAATATGGAAAACACTTTAAATGTGAACTGTTCTCCAGCCACGTTTCAACTTGTTTAAAATGGTATGCAAAAAAAATATTAAAAACATAAACATTTCTAATGCACGTAAATATGTAAATGCAAACATTTTACAGATGAGACTTATAGGCAAATAGTTGCTTCGCAACTCATGAAAGATGAGGAGGGCAACATAAATGAGATGATCTTCTACCCAGCGATGTCGGCCGAAGCGGGTAATAAAATTTATACAAGATCGAGGAAAGAGTTATTTGTATTTCATTTTTATTTTAGAAAATGTCCGACAGGAGCTAACTGGAGTTCCTGAGGATGAAGATTTCATCCCCATAGAAGCTGACAAAGGCGGTAATAAAAACTTACCTTTAATCGAAACAATTTTTACGTAGTTGGCTAGAAGCGCCTGTTAAACTTATGCTCTCACTCATAGAGGAGCTGAGGCCTAAGGTTGGCAAAAGCGTTAAATATAAACCCAAGTTGGCGATGTATAGAGAAATTTCTAATAGGATGGCTGAAAAGGGTTACATGTTCACTGTTACCCAAATTGAAAATAAATTTCGGGACCTCGAAAGGCAGTACAAAAAAACTGTCCTAAACAACAGGCAAAGTGTATATATGAGGCATTTATTGTCAAATTTATTTTAGAGAAGTTTATAATTAACTTGATTATTACAGTGAGCTAAGCCGAATCCTTGGAGAGAAAAATGGGTATCAACCCAGAGTTCGTACTGAACAGCGACGACGTCGAAGGCACTTCACTGGCGCAGTCAACCGTAGAGGAAGCGAGTAACGACTTGGATCGGCCGAATACAGGTATTATTTTTTAACATATATGTATCCACTAACAGCCGGTTTCACCAGCAATTTAAATGGAAAATGATTTTTTATTTTCTGTCAATTTCTACTTTTATTTAAGATGACATCCCGAGCTCTTCGCGCGATGGCCAAAGGAATAAGCGGTTCATCTCGGAAAAATTGGATGAGCTCATAGAAGAAAAGAAAAAGTTCCACTCCGATCTTCTGGATCATTTGAAGAAAAAGGAAGAAGCTCGCGAACAGAGGTCCAATAAAAAAATTTATCTTTTAGAAAAACTTATGAACAAACATTAAAAGAATTAAGTAAGCATATTTCTCTTTGCATATAAATATACATGTATATTAGACTGCATCACCAAAAAAAGTTGCGGTTTTTCCGCCGGGATTACAAAATTTATTATATTTTAAGACGTCCAACAAAATATTTCGGAAAAATATTAAGATTTAAGCGAGCTGGACCGATTTGAAAATACCTCCAAAAATGAGGTTTTTTATGAATAAAAATAGTTTCTTAAAGAAATTTTTGAAAAAAGTCACCTCAGATGACAAATTAGATGAAGCTTAAAAAATCTGCATAAAAATATTTTCAGCGAAATCGTAAGAATGAGATTTTTGATGTTGTTTTTTACTTTTTTCAAAGATTGGTTTACGAAAAACTTGAATAACTGGGCCAAAAATGTTCTGATTTAGACTTATGGGATCTCAGTAGAAACGTATTTTCACACTGTTTTTATTGCTGGCCAAAAAAAAACGTCATTCGCGTCCCATCTTGTTTTTTCGAATACCAACACATCTTAATTCAACTTTGAATGACGTTCGTTCATTCTACCTTTCTCTTCCATCCTTTGAATGAGTTTATTAGCGAAGAAATAAAAAGGATGTGAAAATACCTTTCCAACGACACCTCTTAATTCTAAATCTGAAGAGTTTAGGTTGAGTTATTCTAGTTTTTCCTATACCAATCTTTGAAAAAAGTTAAAAAACAGCATCAAAAATCTCATTACGATTCCGTTCAAAGTTTTTTTTTAAATATTTTTATGCAAATATTTTAAGCTTAAAGCGTTTTGTCATTTGAGGGGATTTTTGCAAAAAAAAATCTTTAAGAAACTATTTTTATTCATAAAAAACTCAATTTTTGGAGGTATTTTCAAATCGGTCCAGCTCACTTAAATATTAATATTTTTCCGAAATATTTTGGTGGACGTCTTAAAATATAATAGATTTTATAATTCCAATGGAAAAATAGTACCGATTTTTTTTTGTATGGGGAGTGATGCAGTCTAATTATATATATATATATATATTTATTCTTTCCCTTTAACAGAATAAGTTCACCATGCACCTATTTATTAGATGATGCATTTACAGTTTATTTTGCTTAGCTCCCCATCCATGTTTAAGGCAGGTATCGCTAATGTGCAGGTATATTGGATGCATCTATCGGAGCAGTTTCCTTATAAATGTTAACAATAATGCCGCTGATGCGCATTTCGGGCTAGTTATCTTAAATGTGCACTTCATAATAAAGGCGGTAAAGCAAAATATACTGTATTGGATTAAATATTTAGCGATTTATTATTTTTATATACAGTGCCGGGCAAAAGTATTGGCACAGAGAATTTTTCGCAAGATATGCAAAGTTTTTATTCTAATTTATTTTCAATATTTTTTAATACAAATATATTTCGTACTTCACCAAAATTCAAAAAAACAAATTCTCAAAACTTTATGCAAAACTCAGAAAAATGCAATAAATTTGCATACTAATTTGCAACTTTCTATTCAAATTTTTTAGAAAAATTCTAAGTATGCGGTTTTATAGCCAATCTAATTTTAGTATAACAAACTGCAAGTTTGAAGTTGCTAGAAAATCGTGTTGATTTTTTTTCACTCAGATTCTTCCATACAAAGTATGTTCGACAATTATTTTTTGTATGGAGAAAATGAACAACACCTTCCACTAAAATTAGATTGGCTATAAAACTGCATACTTAGAATTTTTCTAAAAAATCTGAATAGAAAGTTGCAAATTAGTATGCAAATTTATTGCATTTTTCTGAGTTTTGCACAAAGTTTTGAGAATTGGTTTTTTTTTTGTATTTTGGTGAAGTACAAACTATATTTGTATTAAAAAACATAGAAAATAAATTAGAATAAAAACTTTGCATATCTTGCGAAAAATTCTCTGTGCCAATACTTTTGTCCGGCACTGTATGTATATTTGTAGGAAAAATTAAAATAATTTATGGAATGTCTTTTAGACACACACAATATACATATATATAATAAAATAAAAGAAAAGGCGATTCATATAAAGTATAAAATACAGTCACAAATTTTTAATTTGGTAGTTGTTGGCAAATAGTGTTCCTTACAGCATTTCCTCTTGATATTTGTTCAGGCACATAACCTAAAACTCCTTCTTCATCTTGCATTACAAATTCCAGATCGTCTTCTTTAGCAATATTGTGTAAGACACAACATGCTCTTATAAAATGGCATACTTTTTTCTGACCCTTAAGTTTGCAGAAGTACAATTGTCTGAATCGCTGTTTTAAAATTCCAAAGCAGTGTTATATGGCCACACGACCCGAGCTTAATTTGATGTTGAAATTTTTTTCCGCTCTTGTCAGGTGCCCATTGTCTCTGTAGGGTGTCACCAAGTGCTGAGTGCAAGGATAGGCAGAGTCTCCTAATAAATAATAATCTGAAAAAAGTATATAAATAATATAAAGACTTATTAATTAAAATTGTAGTGTAAATTGCGAACCTTTGCAATTTGTTTCTAATTTTCGGTACAAATTCGAGTTTTGAAAAACCCAGCTGTCGTGAGACTAGGGTGGCCAGATGCGCTGATTTAATCAGTACGTGTGCTGATTTTTTTCTATTGTTCTGATTTTCAAAAGCCCGAAATCAGTACGCAAAATCTACTGATTTGTTGGGTTTGTACTGATTTTGTACTGATTTTTACATTTAATACTTTTGTAAATTCGTGTAATTGACATTTACTTGAGGTTTACATGTTCAAAACAATGGTTTTTGGACACTCATACGTGTGAGCAGATTGAAAGCATTAATTAAATTTTTAACCATTATTAAAAAGGTGTCAGCTTGCAATTGTTTCGTTTCCTAGGATTTCGCAAAATAACAAACTCTTTGCATTCAACCCAACCCAATTTCACGATTTGCAGGTTTAGGTTAGTATGTAAATCAGGTTTGTTGCGAATATTCGCATTCGCATTCGCAACCGCGGAACTTCCGCAAAAAATTTTAACATTCGCATTCGCAATAATCAATGCGGAGCTTTTGCGAATGCGAATATTGTGCAAGTGCCCCAAAAAATATATCAAAACACATTGAGCGCATGGAATGGAACAACAAAACGGATTTGATGGCTTATGGTACCGACAGCGGAGAGTAATTAATTGTGACTGCCTGTAACTATAGGAAAAGCTAAGCTAAGCTAACTAATAAAAAAACTAATTACAAGCTGTTCATTGCAGGTGAACCTTTCCAAGAGGTCACCCGGGAATTAAGCAAATCTGAGACCTTTACCGTCCGTGATTCCAATAATTGAAATTATTATAAAAAACGGGGTACATTTTTTACAAAATAACAAGATTTTAAACTAATTCTGCTGGCAGCCACGACTTTCAAAACAGAATTTTCTTCGAAATTTTCATTCTTACAAAATAATAGTTTATTAGCCATATCCACCTATTCACAACATCGCGACGCTATAAGCACACATTTTTCAAACCAGTCACAGAAGATAGGATTAAAAATGAATTACAAAAACTAAAATCGAAAAACGCTGATGTCGTAACAGGTTCTCCAAATTCTGAAACAACTAAAAGAATTGGTTCTCCAAATTGGAACACAACGGTGTTTAAACAGCGATATTGCCATGATGCTAGATTGTGAAGATGAAAGTCAGGAGGAGCCCCGATGCAATTCTCGAATTATTGAACCGCAAAAAAAAAACTGAAGTCCTCTCAACTGGTGTAGCGTCAATCGAAAAGAATTTACAATTTTGTAAAGTTTCAAGTTTTTCAAGTTTGTCGCCTCGAGCGAGTAGTTATTTAATGGCGCAGGTTTGATTTACGACCCGTTAGGAAACAGGCTGTAACCCGAAAAAGCAGCAAAATTACTCTTTCTTAAATACAATGTTCCAATTTTTTAATTTAAGTACTAAATAAAAAAAATATTAAAAATTACTATATTACACATTATTGGGAACGAACAATTTTTGGTTTTTTTTTTTTCATACAAAATTCTCTCCCATACACGGACTTTCCGATAAACGGACGTGGACACTCAAAAATGTCCAGTTATGAAAAAAATTCTCCCATAAGCGGACGCAAAGCTCTAACAAGCGGTGAATTTTGTTTTGTTTTTCAGTCAAATGTTGACTCTTGCGCTTCTACATATGTATATGTACACAAGAACATAGCCCATATTGAAAAATATTTTCATTTCTAGAAATTGTGTTGCCTTTTCGTTGCCAATGGGCAATGAGATTTGTCGGTAGGAAAGAAAACGCAATACATTTGAGTTTATTTTTAATTCACCTTGTTTCTATCTATTGAAGAATAAATGTTATTTTAATTTAGAAACCCGCAATTTCAATTTTTTAAGTATGAGCAGACCATGAGGTGACTCACCCCTCGCAAGCATTGCACTTGACTGAGGTGGAGTTGTGGTGTAGTCGTCTCTGGTTTGACTCGATGCCAGCCCTGAGCAGAAGAAAACGTAGCGAATGCAGCCCTATGGACGAACAACTTCTGAAATACTTCGCCGACCTAAACGAGTCATTCCGGTACGTAGCACCGGCTGTCGTGGGAATGGATTTAGTGACATCGTCGCACTTGCTGTGAATCCTAAACGACATAGAGCTGACAATGACACTGGTGACAATATCATGCAGGTGTACTCCTATCAAAGACTTATAACAGACAATGTCTTGCAGCGGTCACTTATAAAAAGTCCATTGCGAGATACTGTCGCTTGAATGTCATTAATGATCACTGCATAACCAAGTCATGCAGATGACATCAACGACGAAATTACCATTTATATGAAAAAGTCATGAACGACTTCCATACAAACGGAGCCCAAAGTCATTTAAGATGTAACTTTTCCGTACAAGACTCTTAAGTGAAGAATGCATGACATTCGCTACGGGGTTAGGTTGCATTCACATTTAAAGAATTTTATACTTTTCAGTCTCTGTAATTCAATTAGAGGAATACTAACATTTGGATGAATACCCCTGTATTTAATTATCTCTCCTTTATTCTTG